AAGAGGATAGAATAGAAATGGTGATCCGTATACTACTAGAGGATAGAACAGAAATGGTGAATATAGTAAAAGAGATAGAATAGAATGGTGATCCGTAGAATAATAGAGGATAGAATAGAAATGGTGATCCGTATACTACTAGAGGATATAATAAAATGGTGATCCGAGGAATAGAAATAGAAATCCGTGGTAATATCCAGAATAGAAATAATATATAGTAAAAGGGATAGAAAAAAAATGGTGATCCGAAATGGTGATCCCGTAGAATAATAGAGGATAGAATAGAAATGGTGATCCGTATAATAATAGAGGATAGAATAGAAATAGCGATCCGTATACTACTAGAGGATAGAACAGAAATGGTGATCCATATAGTAAAAGAGGATAGAATAGAAATGGTGATCCGTATAGTAATAGAGGATAGAACAGAAATGTTGATCCTTATAGTAATAGAAGATAAAACAGAAATGGTGATCCGTATGGTAAAAGAGGATAGAATAGAAATGGTGATCTGAATAGTAATAGAGGATAGAATAGAAATGGTGATCCGTATAGTAATAGAGGACAGAATAGAAATGGTGATCCGTATAATAATAGAGGATAGAATAGAAATGGTGATCCGTATAATAATAGAGGATAGAATAGAAATGGTGATCCGTAGAATAATAGAGGATAGAATAGAAATAGCGATCCGTATAATAATAGATGATAGAATAGAAATTGTGGTCAGCGACACTTTATTTATATATAACACTATGTGAAATTTAACAGGTGCAGTGTTTATATTTAAGTCACATTGATAACACCCCGTGAATAGATGAGCAGTTCCTCATAGTGAGATTTGTTGAATATCATCAGAACAGGGGTTGTCAATGATTTTATTAATAGTTTTAAAGAGGCAAGACATTATCAATTTCAATCTTGTTTTGTAGTTCCCGATTTAAGAACTCAGTTGAATCGTCTGATCTCTCTAACTGTGCGCCTCTTACCCATCTACTTCTTGGCAGGAATACAAGAGATTCGAACCCACCCTGAATCAGTTAAACATTTAACCTCCCAGCTAAAAGCAATATGGCTTTGCTTCTCTACGCCCTTTGTTGAGATATTAACGTTTATTACTGAAAGAGTGTCAAGATTTAGATAAGAAGTTTGGGCTGTTGCTTTGGATATCACAAAGGCATTTCACTGGGTCAGTCATGCTGGTCATCTTCCCAAAGTTAATGGAATTTCTGGACGGATTTTTGAACTGATTCTGTTTTTCTTATCATATCGCGAAATGAAAGTTCTCTTGAACAGCCGCTCCATATTGCAAATGCCTCCAGGGCTTGAACCATGAACCGATGTCCTTAATTTTTATCAACGACCTTTCTGATGTCACCAGTGTCCAACTCAGTATCTATGCTGATGACACACCTATTTACACCTGTCTTCGTCTGATTTGTTTGAAAAGGTCAAACTGGCAGCTGATCTCAAAAATGAGCTACAGTCAGTTGTTAACTGGGGCAAGAAAAGACTGAATTTTAGCACTGCCAAAACGAAACTGCACTCTTAACCGTTTTAGAGAACCTTTTCTTTTTTGCCTTCGATCAACGTGACATATGATATCGCTCCGGGTAGTAACTCGTTCGCGTTTTTGGAATAAAGATTTCTTCTGACACGAAGTGTGAAGATTCTAAGGAATCAATTCCTAAATTTCTGCTAGTAAAGTTGCATCTCTGTGCCGTGTTAGACAATCATGTTCGTCAGAATATATCGTACACATTTATAAGTCCACCATTCGTCCTTGCATTGAATATCACTATCACATTTGGTCTGGTGCTTTTGCTATGTATTTAGAGATTCTTGATAAAATACAAAGAAGAACCTGCCATTTTATTCGTACTAACATGGCATCTCATCTCCAGTCTCTTCCACACAACCGTAACATATATTCCCTGTGTCTTTTCTATAAATATTTTCATGGTAATTGTTCTGATCAGCTTTTCTCTATGGCGCCGCGACTTCAGGAATTTAAGGGCAGTACTAGATTGGCGGTAAGGTCTCATAATTTGACTGTTGAAATTACTAGATGCGACTGTAAACTCTTTTCTAACAGTTTCTTCTCTCGAACTTCTCGCCTGTGGACCTCTTTTCCCGTTTCTGGATTTCCAGTCAACAACAATCTTGAAAACAATTGAAATGCAACATCAATAGACATCTTCTGTCTCCTCTAACCCCACGTTTTTATTCTCTCCCCATTTAGTTTTACTCTTAATAAAATCCTGGATTTATTGCCTTGATTCGGGCAAAGTGATTAAAAAATAAATGAATAAAGCCTAAGTAACTTTATATTGCAATTTCGAATGGTACTTAACAATTGACTGATTGGTTTGTTTAACGGGATATCAATTCCATATGGATTATTTAATGCCGAAATTTAATTTCTTGGGGGCTTTGAAGTAATAAAGATATGATATAATATTATTCTACTTTTACAATTGAATACATGGTAGATAATACTCAGAATTATATACAAGTTTTTGTGGGCATAACTACGAGAGGTCGTGATATGTGTGATTTATGTTGTTGTTTTTTTGAAGTTATATTTTGGAATGCAGTTTGATTTCTTTAAGAAACTTTAGGATATTATATGGATTAATGTCATGAAAATTCTTTCATGTTGATTGTTTGGCTGATTTTGTTTAGCGTCATATCAACACCTCTATGGGTTATTTAATGTTGAAATCTAAATATTTTGATTTGTTTGATTTTGTTTAGCGGCATATCAACCTCTATGGGTTATTTAATGACGAAATCTAAATATTTTGATTGGTTTGGTTTGGTTGAATTTGTTTAGTGGCATATCAACCTCTATGGGTTATTTAATGCCGAATTCTAAATATTTTGATTGGATTGGTTTTCTTGATTTTGTTTGGCGGCATATCAACCTCTATGGGTTATTTAATGACGAAATCTAAATATTTTGTAAACCTTCAATTACAGATAAAATGTACTGTTGGTCATTTTGCTATAAATAAGTACTCTTTTGCTATATAAATTGATTTTTATACTTTTATAGTGTTTTGGGGTTCACTATTTGTCCATAGCTGGGACCCTAACACGTGCTACCCCTCCCCGGTATAGAATGGACAATTAAGAGGTGGCACCTAACAAATCTTGTAATTATGTAAGGATTTAAACATCAGAGGTGGAAGTGAATGTGTTATTTAATCAAGAACACTTGTTCGGTCAACGCTATTTGATTTTTATATCGATCGGCTTTAAATAAACTTCGAAAATAAAATTAAAAATAAACCAACGTGAACGCCAATAAAAACACAACATTTCATCCATTTTTTATTTTTATTTTTTCATTTGCGTTCCTCATGGAAATTTTAACGCTTGCTATGCTTTAAATATCCATTGACTTTTAAATGTCGAATATGTCGTCGTCTCGACTTTAGTAGCTTGAAAAGAATTATTAATACACTTTTTCGAAATCGGTGAAGAGGAAGGGAAGGAAACATTGCCTCGAAATGCCGGATCGGGAAGCATTTCCCATTTTATAATCGTTGACAAGTGGACTGCCGACCAGATTTATGAATTTTCGCAAATCAATCGATCGGACGGTGTGATCAATAGAAAAGCGTGATCAATGGTTCAGCAAACAGCCCGAAAAGAATCCTTTGATGGAACCAGTTTCTTTTATGCTTGACCACATCGCTTTGGCTTGACTGGATGACCAGAAACGAAAAACAAGATTGGTAATGAGAAAAAGTGATTGAGTTTATGCTGGACAAGTACAAGGAAGACGAAGAAGAAATGAATAAAAAAAATAAAAAGCAGACAAGGACAAAGAAAACGACCTGAGAAATGAAAGAAGAAAAGGAGAAAGAAAAATAGATTCGGACACAAGAGTCATGAGAAATCAAAGAAGAAGAAAAAAGTGGGGAAAAGAACAAAGGAGAAGACGTGAGATCTAAAAGAAGAAGAAAGGAAAATAGAGAAAAAAAATTAGACGTGTACAAAGGAGGCATGAGAAATCAAGGAAGAAGGAAAAAGAGAATGAAAAATAGACTTGTACAAAGAAGAAGACGTGGAGTATAAAAGAAGAAAGAAAAAAGAGAAGGATAAATTAGACGTGTACAAGGAAGAAGACGGGAGAGAGCAAATGAAGAAGAAAAGAAAGAGAAGAAATAATAGACGTGGACAAAGGCGAGGTGAGAAATCATAGAAGAAAAAAAAAGCAAAAAGAAACAAAAAATAGGGGTGTCCAAAGAAGAAGACGCGAAAAATTGAAGAAGAAGAAGAGGATGAGAAGGGAGAGGAGGAGGAGGAAGAAGAAGAAGAAGAAGAAGAAAAGAAAAAGAGAAGTAGACGTGTACAAAGAAGAAGACGTGAGAAATCAAAGAAGAAAGGAAAAGAGAAGGGAAAGAAGACGTGTAAAAGGAAGACATGAAAAACCAAAGAAGAAGAAGAGAAAAAGAAAAGATAAAAGTAGACGCGTATAAAGAGGAAGACGCGAGAAATCAAAAAAAAAGAGAAGGAAAATAGACGTGTACAAAGAAGACGCGAGAAATCAAAAAAGAAAAAAGTAAAAAGAGAAGGAAAGAGAAGACGTGTATAAAGAAGAAGACGTGAGAAATCAAAGAAGAAGAAAAAAGGAAAAAAGTAGACATGTACAAAGAAGAAGAAAAAAATGAAGAAAGGAAAAAGAGAAGGGAAATAGACGTGTACAAAGAAGACGCGAGAAATCAAAAAAGAAAAAAGGAAAAAAAAGAAGGAAAGAGAAGACGTGTACAAAGAAGAAGACGTGAGAAATCAAAGAAGAAAAGAAAAAAAAGGAAAACAATAGACATGTACAAAGAAGAAGAAAAAAAGAAGGAAGGAAAAAGAGAAGGGAAATAGACGTGTACAAAGAAGACACGAGAAATCAAAGAAAAACAAGAGAAATCAAAGAAAAATAAGAGAAAAACAAATCAGAATTCCGGCTAGAAAATTACCCTATTCGGCGTTCATGAATGGAAAAGAATATTGGGGAGTATTGGTTAGCTCAGTGGCCTGGTGAACCGGATGAAGAGGCTGTGGTTGTCGAGGAAGGAAACGTTCTGTAAGTTTTATATTCAAGGGAGACCAAACGAAGCAAGAGTCGAGCGTTACCATCGCTATGTTCGCATATCAAACATTGGTGTCTATGGATTGATTCAGTGGTCTGATATCGATTTGACAGCCAGGCAGTTGGAGTTCTTAGTCAGCCGGCGAGTTTGCTAACAAGAAAAAGGAGAAAAAAAAAAACACTTGATCAGCCAGACAGTGACAACGGTAGATCATTTGAACCTGCACGATCCATTCTTAAGAGACGATGTGTGTGTATAGGCGCGCGTTTGTGTATGCGTATGTACCTGTGTGTTTCAATTCGTAGCTCTGTGTGCGTGTCTCTGTAGCAGATGGAGATTGTGACATAGTGTGATGAAGTATTCATACAGCAATAATATAACCGTTTTCTTTTCTTTTTTTTTTCTCTCTGGACAAATTTTTCCTTTTGTGGGTTCTAAATTTCGCAGTTATCTTTCTTGATGCCATTTTTTTGGTGTGTGGGGGTGGGGTGAGCTTTGATTCCTCTTATTCATTCTTTTCCCGCTTTCTTGGTTCCCATTCTTTCCTTTTTAATATTCCGCTCACTTAACTTTCCTTTATTCATATTTCTAATTTGTTTTGTCTTTTTGGCATTTCAAAAATCTTCCTAAGTTCTTCACTCTACTTTCTTTCTTTCTTTCTTTCTTTCTTTCTTTCTTTCTTATATAATTTGCAACCTTATCGTCCTGATCTGGCATCTCGGATTCAATCACTTTCCCACCAACGGAACCCAGCTGTACTTTTTCTACACATATTTTTGTATCAGTTCGTCTTCTGATCACTTTCTTTCTTTCTTTCTTTCTTTCTTTCTTTCTTTCTTTCTTTCTTATCTAATTTGCAACCTTATCGTCCTGATCTGGCATCTCGGCTTCAATCACTTTCCCACCAACGGAACCCAGCTGTGCTTTTTCTACACATATTTTTGTAGTAGTTCGTCTTCTGATCACTTTTATTTGATTACTCGACATCATCAGTGCAAGCGCAGCACTAGATTGGCAGTTAGGTCTCATCGTTATAGGTTTTTATTCTAATAGTGTCTTCTCTCGCAATTTTCGTCTTCCGGTTTTTAGCTTTCATGTAATGCTTCTTAAGGCTGTTTAAATTCTGGTAATAAAGAAAATAAGAAAGGAGGTGAGATGAAAGGAACGGAATATAGATGATGTGCTTTCAGACATAGATTAATGGATACCAACATACAAGAGACAAAATTATGATTAAGGATATTCTATGCCAATTTGTTTTGTCTTTTTGGCATTTTACAAATCTTCCTCGGTTCTTCACTCGTATTTCTTTATTTCTTTCTTTCTTTCTTTCTTTCTTTCTTTCTTTCTTTCTTTCTTATATAATTTGAAAAGTATCCTTCCGATCTGGCATCTCGGCGTCCATCACTTTCCCTCCGACGGAACACAGATGTGCTTTTTCTACGCATATTTTTATAACATTTCGTCTTCGGATCACTTCTATTTGATAACTCGACATCATCAGTGTAAGTGCAGCACTAGATTGGCAGGTAGGTCTCATCATTTTAGGGTTCTATTCTAATAGTATCTTCTCTCGCAATTTTCGTCTTCCGGTTTCTAGTCTTGATGTAATGCTTCATAAGGTCGCTTAAATTCTTGCTATAAGGAAATAAGAAAGGAGGATAGATGAAAGGAACAGGATGTAGATGGCGTCCTTTCAGAGATAGATTAATGGATACCAACATACAAGGGAGAAGAAAAGGCAAAATTATTATTAAGGACATTCTATGCCACGAATTGTTAACACATTTAGAATGTAAAAAATTTAATGTTAAAAATTTAGAATGTTAAAAATTTAGAATGTTAAAAATTTAGAAATGTTAAAAAGTTTTAAATATGTTAAAAATGTTAAATAATTTCAAAAACGTTAAAAATTAAAAAAAAAATTTAAAAATGTTTTAAAAATATAAAAATGTTTTTAAAAAGTGACATCATGTTAAACATGTTAAAAATTTTTAAAATGTTGGAAATTTCAAAAATGCTAAAAATGTTGCTTACTTTATGTGTGCATATTTAAATTTTGTCTTTGAAAGACAAAGTTTTGTGATAAAATACCTATTATGTGCAATAAATTGTTATTTCTATTTATGTAAATATACATTAAAATTTAAATACATTAAAAGACAAATTTGAATATATTTGTACCCTCTTACTTCATTAAATAATGACTTGCATTCCTACTTATGATTTTTATTGTGACATTTTGTGAAAGATGTCAAGTTCATATCTTCATTTACAAACACTTTGTTCGTATGCATTTTCATGTCAGACATTATTTTGCCACATTAATTGAACACTAGCAAAGACACTACACTGTAACTTAACACTAACAAAGAATTTGTAACTTTAATTGATTATTCAATACGAAATAAAAAGGGAAATTAACGTTCCTGATCAAACCGAACTCATAAACAATTACATCGGTCACACAACTACATGTCTATCCAAACGCCTTACCTTACAACTATCTGACCAGAACTCTATTAGAACCCATTGAAACACACACACAAACCTATGAGATTCCATTCGAATCATACTAGTAGAAAATACAAACATAAAACCACATCGTCTTGTAACAACTGATTAAAAAAAATGGAAACTCTAATAATAAAAAAGAAAAGACGAAGTCTTAACAATATTAACTACGAACACGGCCACAATGTGCTAATCGTGTTTGGAAAATAAACATAGAAACATAAACTCTAGATACATACACACAACCCAAACATAAAACCATACTAAAAACATATACATAACGCACACATTCAATTAACGTGAAAGAATGAAATCACCCTTGATACTGGCTAAAAGTGTAGCCGAAAGCGCTCGGGACTATAGAATATTTGGATACTTTCTACACACTCCGTGTCCCAAAAAGAAAGCCCTTTTTCGAACGCAACAGATATATATATATATATATATATATAATTATTAATTCGAAAATTATAACATAAATATGTTATAAAATCACTACAAAAATTGCCATTTTCTTTCAACACTTTCAACGCCATCACATTTATGTTATAATTTTCGAATAAATAATTGTATTTGCTCAACTCTGTATTGAGCACTCTTTTAAGAATATAATTTGTTGGTTATTGGACTTCATTCCGTATACACCAATCCTATACTTGGTATATATATATATATATATGAAAAAGCCAAGCTTTATTTTAAGAAAGTGACGCAGCTTACACACACACACACACACACACACACACACACACACACACACACACACATATATATATATACATATATATATAAGATTTTTTTATGTTTATACACTCTGTTTATAGATACAAATATTTTAGTAAATTGTCTGTTTATAATAAACAGTATTAATAACATTTACTTAAAGATTTGTATCTATAAAAAGAATGTATAAACATAAAATATGTCTTAATATATATATACATATATAAATGAAAGAGTCAATTATTATTCTAAGAAAGTGGCGCAGCGCGCGTGTACATATATATATATATATATATATATATATATATATATATACGCATAGGCTATGAAACTGTAATTCGGAGATTGTAGTGCTCGACACTTGTACAACATTTATACGACTATCTGAAAATCAAAATTCCGAATTTAATATAATTACTCAAGATGACTGCTTAATATCGTCAGCCACAGGTTTATTTTTTATTCTGAGATTTTAAAAACATTTAATTTTGTACTTATTTCTTAAACATTTAAATATATATAACATAGACAAACAGGGATTTAACCTTTGCCAAGAAAATCGATAAGTGTGTGTATAAATTAATAATAATGGAGACATTAAATCCAAAAACTCCAACCACTTCGTTAAAGTCACCCGATAGCAATATGCACTATTTTCTAAAAGTATGCATCGAGAAATTGGATACATTTGGCGCTTTGCTTGTCTTTGTTTGACGTGTTATCGCTTTCACCAAATCCGTCAAATTGCCCCGAAAAAAAAATCGCCCCTTAAAATTATAATATTCTAGTAAGATCGGGCTTCCGAGAAGTCTAGCAGAACGCTAAAAGACGCCAAGAATTACACCGCGAAAATGCGAAAAAAAGAACCATTTTGTATATTTCAATGCTAATGTCGAAATAAAAGCATTAACTTCCATAATATATGCGCCCATTAAGGTTAATGCTTTTTGAGAGCGATATATCTTTGCAGTTTTGATTGAATGGGAATCTCTCAATATATATATATATATATTTATATATATATATATATATATATATATATATGGCACAAATCGATAACGACAACACGTAATATACTAGGAATTATGACGTTCAAAGGCGGGAAAATTTTTGTAAAGTACCCAATGAAAGAACTCGAATGACAACAGCTAACAGATGAAGAAAAGTACCAAATGACATATCTTTGCGACAAACTGTACGTTTCGCCAGCCGCCGGTTGCTGCTAATATTCAATTTTTAATTCAATATCTCCTGTGAGTCTTTTATTCTCCAGTAATCCTTTCCTCATTATGCATCACAGAAATATCAACAGCCTCTTTCCTTATCTAATTACAGATTTTTACGCGTCCTGGCTAATACGATAAACTCCGTGCAAGGCCTCTGATCAGGAGGTTTTGAGGAGCGTTGAACCACCTCTTAATTGCTGCTGTTCAAGGTCTACTCTGACCCGTAGTAGTAGCACTTGTTAGGGTCCTAACTATGGGCAAGTAGTTAGCCCGCAAAACTGGGTCAAAATACTATGAAAGTTTAAAAATATGTTTTAATACCAGCAAAAGTTTTTTTGTGGAAAATAAATATTGATAGCAATAGATTTTTGAAGGAAAAATATTACCAGCAATACCTTTTTTTAAATAATTATTACCAGCAATACATTTTTGAAAAAAAAAATATTACGAGCAATACATTTTTGAGAAAAATATTGCCAGCAATGCATTTTTGAAAAAAATTATTACCAGCAATACGTTTTTGGTAATATATTACCAGCAATAAAAATCTTGTCAGCATTAAATAACCCATTGAGGTTGATACGCCGTAAAACAAAATAAAACAAAACAAAACAAACCAATATATATTGAGATAGATAGATAGATAGATAAAAAATATTTCCAGCGATAAAAATTTTGTCTACATTAAATAAATCATTGAGGTTGATATACCATAAAACAAACCAAACCAAACCAATATATACTGAGATCGATAGATAAAAAATATTACCAGCAATAACAAAAACTTATCGACATTAAATAAATCAGTGAGGTTGATATACCGTAAAACAAATCAAACCAAACCAGATTTTGCTGACAAGTCCTTCATACGCGTAACTCAAAATTGGACTCAAAGATAATTACAGTCCCAAAAATCCAATTCAAATGAGACGACAACGCAAGAGCAGGAGAAAAAGGCACGGAATTTTTACCCCCAAAAAGTGAATCGACAAAAAAATCATAAAGAGGAAAAGTGAAATTTCAAAGATTTTATCGTATAAAAGGCAAGGAATTGATATTGAGAATAATCCTTAAATATTTTCATAGCGACTGCTCTGGTGACGACTATGTGGATTTGAACATGCTACAAGATTGACCGCTAGGACACACCCTTCTATTGTCTAAATAGTTAAATGTAACCGCCATTTCTACTCCTAAGAGTTTTTTCTCGCACTTCCCGCCTGTAAAACTCCTTTACGTTTACTTGCTTCCAAGAAAACTACAATCTTCAAAAATTTAAATGCAATGTCAATCGCCATCATCAGTCTTCTTGAATCCTGTTCTTCTTTTATATATATATATATATATATATATATATATATATATATATATATATATGTGTGTGTGTGTGTGTGTGTGTGTGTA